TTGGTCTTGGAGAAACTACGCAAGCGAGGACTATATGCCAAATTAGAAAAGTGTTTATTTCACCAGACGGAGATGGAATTTTTGGGGTTCATTGCGACTATAGAAGGTTTGATGATGGACTCCAAGAAAGTAGAAGCAATCATGTCTTGGGAGGTTCCGAAGACGGTTAGAGACGTACAATGCTTTCTTAGTTTTGCTAACTTCTATCGGATCTTCATCAAGAATTATTCTCAAGTTGCTGCTCCTCTCACTCGATTAACATGCAAGGATAAGTTGGAATGGAGACCTTTGGCGGAGAAGGCGTTTCAAGATTTGAAGACAGCATTTACTACAGCTCCAATTTTGGTACATCCAGACTTTACAAAGGCCTTCTATTTAGAAACTGATGCTTCAGATTTTGCTTTGGGAGCTGTGCTTTCACAAATGAGTGAAGATAAGAAGCTCCATCCAGTTGCATTCTATTCTCGGAAGTTCTCTGCTGCTCAAATCAATTATGAGATCCACGATAAGGAACTTCTTGCTATAGTGGATTCTTTCGAAGAATGGCGTCACTTTCTTGAAGGAGCTGCACATCCAGTAACGATATATATGGATCACAAGAATTTGGAGTATTTCATGATGGCTCGAGTTTTAAATCGGCGTCAAGTTCGGTGGAATATGTCGCTATCTAGATTCGATTTTATTATCACTTATCGACCTGGAAGGCAGCAAGGACTATCCGATGCTTTATCAAGGAGATCGTATCTTGCACCAAAGGTTGGAGAAGCAGCATTTGATCAACAATGTACAACGTTATTGAAGCCAGAGAGATTTCAACTTTGTGCTACTATTGTATCATTTGATGCTGACTTCCTAAACCAGGTACGTGCTATGACCATTAAAGATTCAGTAGCCATTGATATCAAGCAACGCACCAATGATGACAAGTTCAAGGTGGAGGGAGATCTTTTATACTTTGAAGAGCGATTGTACATTCCAAAAGGACTAGCACGACTCCGAGTTCTTCAATCTCGCTATGATTTTCCAACTGCGGGACATTTTGGATTCAACAACACCTTGGAGCTTATTTCCCGAGATTTTTGGTGGCCCCAAATGTGGAAGGATGTGAAAGATTTTGTCCTCTCTTGTGACATCTGTTCAAGATCTAAGAATCCTCGGCATCGCCCTTATGGACTTCTACAGCCATTGCCAATTCCACGTCGACCATAGTCTTCAATTTCTATGGACTTCATCACGGACTTGCCATCATCAAACTCATTTGACAGCATCTTTGTCATGGTAGATCGGCTTACGAAGATGGCACACTTTGTTCCTTGTAAGAAGACATCATCCAGTGAAGTCACAGCAAGACTCTTTCTCGATAATGTGTATCGATATCATGGACTATCAGATGATATCATATCAGATCGAGGTACCCAGTTCGTGTCAAAGTTTTGGAGATCTCTCTTTGGGATATTGAAGGTGAATATCAAGCTTTCTTCAGCTTTTCATTCTCAAACTGATGGCCAAACGGAATGAGTGAACCAAGTCTTGGAGCACTACTTACGATGCAGCATCAACTATCAACAAGAGGATTGGACTGCATATCTACCACTAGCCGAGTTTGCATATAACAACACCCTCCATACGTCGACTCAACAAACACCATTCTTTTCCAACTATGGGTATCATCCGAAGCTTGATTTATTGAGTCCGTCAACAAATAACAATCCAGCAGCTGAAGGATTTGCGAAGCAACTATTAGAGCTTCAAACTATGTTGAAGCTTCAATTACAATCCGCTCAAGAATCCTATAAGACGTCTGCAGATAGATTTCGGAATCCAGCACCTATTTTCAAAGTTGGAGACAAAGCCTGGCTTCTTCGACGAAATATCAAGACCAAGCGACTATGTGATAAGTTGGACTATCGAAGATTGGGACCATTTATCATCCAGAAGTAAATTAATCCAGTGGCATACCGGCTGGAGTTACCGGCTTCTATGAAGGTACATCCAGTCTTTCATGTTTCTCTGTTGGAACCTTATCGAGAGTCATCTTTTCCTGGAAGAGTGCAATGTCCGCCACCTAGTATTGAAATTGAGAACCACGAAGAATACGAGGTTGAAAAGGTATTGGATTCACGGTGAAGGTGGGGAAAGTTAGAATATCTTGTTCATTGGTGTGGCTATGACATTAATGAGTGAACGTGGGAGCCAGCTAAAAATCTTACGAATGCGCCACAAAAGGTACAGGAGTTTCATCAACGACATCTCGATAAACCTAAATCAATTCGATGATAGCTTCTTTCTGAAGCTTGTTCTCCCAACAATATAAGAAAAAGGGAGAGCACCAGCAAAATTCATAGTTGATGTAGTTATTTTCTCCAAGATAGATCGTAGTTTGGTCTTTTGATATAGATAGCCAAGAGATAGATATTATGCCAGTCAGAGTATCGCAACCGAGTAGCTCACGAAGGCGACCCTGAGATGAAGAACTACATGTACTCCGACGACGACGGAGGATACCGAGTAACCGATCACTGGTGATCGTATTTGAGATCGAGCCTGCTTACGATGGTCAACCAGAAGGCATGTTTGCAGGACAATTTCACAATGAGGACACGAAAGTTCATGCTTGGTCAGAAGTCGAAGGCGTGGGCCACTACCGTTGGCTTCAAGGGTCGATGAACCACTTGCCTCGTGAACAACAGTTGGAGTTCATAGCAGAAGTTATGCGACAGATCTTCATTTTCTTGCGTTGGTACTAATCAACAACATTGCTTCTTAGAGACCTCGAAGCTAAAGGAGGGGGTGATGTTAGGGACATATTCCTTAGAACTTTCTAGAGAGAAGTTTCTAGAACCTTCTAGAAAACAAGCCTCTGGGACCTTCTAGAAGAGAAGCCTCTGGAACCTTTTAGAGAGAAGTTTCTAGAAGCTTCTAGAAAGGAATCCCCTGGAACTTTCTAGAAGCTTCCTAGTTAATAGAAGTAGCTCGAGAAGTTTCTAGAACCTTCTAGAAAAGAAGCCTCTGGAACCTTCTAGAAGCTTCCTAGTTAATAGAAGTAGCTCGAGAAGCTTCCTAAGTAGGAGTATATATAGGGATCGAAGTTGAAGAGTTCTTCAGTCTCGACAACACATCTCTTGGAGTTCTAGCTCACCTTTTTGGTGTTGTTCTTGTACTCATCTGTTTAATCTAGTTTTGTCACTTCTTCTTGAACTTCTTGTTAGATTTCAAGTCTGTATTTTGTATCCGTGACAATTATTAAAATAGTTAAATAACTAACTTATCACAAGTAGGATTTCATATATAATATAATATATTATTCTACTAAAAAATTCTATTTTTTCTATTTATGGTTATCATAATTAATAAAGATCCATCTTATATTTCACATATTTATTATTGAGCTTTATATTACTATTTATATATAAAATATAAAATAAATAAAATTACCTTTTATTGAAATAAATAACAACTAAGAGTTTAAAATATAAGAAGTCTTAAATTAAAAGTAGTAACAAAATAATTAAAAAGTCTTATATATTGCTGCAAATATGATGTTAATACATACACATAGGAATCATCTAAGAATCTTATAAATGTATTAAAGCTTGTTGTTGCTTATTATTGATAATATCCATCAAAACCAAAGACTAACTATTTACAATACAATGGTCTAAATCAAGAAAAGCATATAAAAATATTTTTGCAAATATGAAGAATTAACAATCAATAGATTTATTTCAAGAGTTTTCATTTGCAAAATTATCAAATAAAGCAATTAAATTATCTCAAAATAAAGGATATTGTCATAAAGATCCTTGAGATGTATGTATTTTCTTGAATAAATGATAAAATACAATGTGTTTAATATCATGATCTTAATAGAGACTTTCAATGTTTAGTAATGTTGTTAAAGGTGGATATAATACTTATTGGAATGCAAAATGTATTGTTCGAAGGTAGTTATGGACCTTAACAATGATCAAATAACTAGGTGGTCTTTATACCTTAGTATAAGACATTACCAATGATTAAAAGGACTTATCAACAATCTTTAAGCTAGACATAGATTAAAATTTGATCCTAATATAATTTGACAAATCTTAAACTTCATCAACTTATAAAGCAATTTCATTATTCTTTGTGAAACTTTTTCCAAGAAGAAGGAGATAATATTACATACATCACATTAAAAAATTGAATTATAATAGAAATGGATAGAATTAAAATAAAAATATATTAACTATATATTGATCATTGATTTTGGCAAATTAATTACATGGTAGCCACTTTTCTTGACAAGTTGGCCACTTATCTTATGTGATAATTTAAAAAGATAGATATATAATTTTGAATGTAATGAAATAATAAAATAATCAACTTTTAGTTTGCACCTTTAGCAAACTCTCTGAACTAAAGAAATTAAATAATTATTTTCAACTAGACTAGTTTTATAAGCATTCAGTAAATCTTGTAAGATCTTTTAAGATACAAGACATTCTTGTACAATCTCTAAGAGAAGCACTCGAGAGTTATCAAAATATTTTTGTACCAGTTCTTAGTGACAACCTTTCAATCTTGTAAATGTTACAAAGCATGATAGATACAACTAAAACAATTATTGAAAATTATACAATGAATAAATTATTATTCAATCTCTGTAAGATTAGAAATACATTTCTCTTAATCCATCACTGGGTAGGAAAGAAGTAATTAGCTCAATTCAAATGACATTAAGGTGTTACGTCAACTCATTATCAAACGAGCTGTGATGGATTAACCTGAATAATGGCATATCCCAAATTCAAAGCTTATCATTCCACCTTCATTCCAAGGATAATATTAATTAGAATGTTATCTTGCTCTGATAGCTACTAAGACGATTTTCAGGACACAGTTTTTCAAAAATCAAATGACGTCAAATGATCTTAATTTCTGTTTACTACGTCCACGTGTGAATGCAGAGTAGGCATACACCGAGATTCGACATAGATATTTGAGAAACGAAACAGGGGCAAGCCGAAGGATCGATAGGAGTTTGCCTAACCAATGAAACTTCATGGTGCATTTATGGACAATGCTTCCGTTGCAGTAGCAGATGGTGAAGTCTCCTACGTGCTTAAGATTGACGAGGAGCGCATCAAAAGAATTGTATCACAATATTTGTAGGAAAGCAAGTCATAAGAGTTTTCTATCACCCGCTCGCTTCCACCTTCAGAGAATACCAATCAGCTCACGAGAGACTCCTCAGTGATGCTCATTCACTAATTAACATGGCTACTTCCCGACAAATCTTGTACAGTACGAAGAGCTGTCACTACTTAAGGACCAACTATCCAACATCACATAGTGACCAAAAAACTGAGAGCACTGGCCATACAACATCATGAGCACATGATGTTCAATTCCTGGAATCTGCAAATTGGCATATCACAGGCACCTTTCAGGATTTGGAACTAAATTGTGGATTCGGGAAAAGGGCGTGGCAACAAATAGACACAAGGATAACAATCCACGTATACGCAGACTACTACAAGCACTTACCAATTGATAGGATGATTAAGCTTTCATGCCTGTGGGTTGTTGCTGCACAGCGGCAGCTTGCTGAGGTTGACCGTAATTCAGGGGTCTACGGAAGAGCATAATGTGTGGCTCAGGGCGGTGAATTGCGTAGTGAACCCACCCACGTGACTGCTGCACTCCGATACCACGCCATTCGGCCTGTTGTAAATTCCAGGGAGCGAAACACGCGAGTTAATGTAATGCGTTCAAGAAGATAACAATAGTGATGGCATTCGGAGGACCAACTGCAAGACCTGTAAGATCACTGTTGGCATTTCACTGTCTGGATCCACTGAGGACTCGGACCATTCTGCGATCGTTGACATGAAAGCCGGAAAAAAAGAAGTGCACATGGGGTGCCCATGCAGCTGCTCGTAAAGCCAGATCTTCGCATAACGTACCTCAGACAGGAGTCGGTTTTTGGGCAGCAATTTGGCAATGTCGGGGGGAAGCACGACATGCCTGGAGCACCCATATACACGTCGTCATCGCAAGTTTTCACGTATACAGCTTAAAGTGAAACGAGAATCCTCGGCATAACGTTCATGAAATTCTGGAAAAACATCGATAACCGCTGACGCTACACGATACTTCATACGAACTACGTCCCCACCTCATAAACAAGGTCCACAACATGGAATAGAAGACTAACACCAGAAATCGTCACAACAAATGACACAAGTTGCAGCCAGGACGTCATAACGGATAAATAACCAGACCCACAACGTATACGATCGATATTCCACACATATTTCTCGACCCAATCCCTCAGGCTCCCGAGACCAGAAACCCAACACCGTCACAACTCGACCTCAATCACCACACAACCCCCCGACACGCACCGATACTCGTAGGTATCGTCGAAGTACTTCTCCGAGTACTGGATCTGGGGCATTGTACCGAGTTTCTCTCACTTCTGGCTCAAGGGTGTGAGCACACTTCCACTCCCACTCCCACAAGCAGATACCAATATACACGCGATCTTCAACTGCACACAAAACACCATCGCAAAGCACGTCAACACGGGGTACCCAACAACCAGATTAGGTGCTCAAAACTCAAATTCCGCTCAACAAATCTACTCATCCATCAAACAAGTGTGAATCAAGCCAAGAAACAAGAGTGACCCCGGAGGCAAGCAACGCGCTGGCAGCACAAACCACCCCCGAGGCCATCAGAAAAACCCACCTGCAATTTCGAACCAAAAAACGGGGTACGAGATTCGAGAGCACAAGGTGACGAAGGCAAGAGCAGGATGCGAGGAGTGGGATCGATGTTTCGATGCAGGGCAGGCGGAGGTGACGGAATGCGAGGAAGACGAGGCTGAGCGCAGGCCCGACGGAGCAGGAAACGAGGCCCAATTTCAAAATGGGTGGAGTCTGGCTCCCTGCTTGTGATCCTCCACAGGGATCGTGTTCCCCCACCTTGTTCCCTCCCTAGTTCTCGTCTCGTTCCCCCAAACCTGGCCACCTTCCTTACCCATCTGCTGCTTGCAGCCGTTTCTTTTTTTCTTTGTGTGCCCGGAACAGTGCGGGCAGGGACGGCAAAGGAAAATCTCCCTCGGTTGTCCACCAATCAAACTGCTCCATGTAATTTGAACGCCCCTGAAGCTTTTTTCCCCCTCCTTCATCCACTTTTTCGTTACTTTCGGGGGTGTTTCTGGATGAACGCTCATTTTCCATGATGTAAAGTTTCATCCATATTTCATTCATTTTGTCTTGTATTAAAACTTTTTATATTCAATACTTTTTTGGTCAATACTTTTTACTGAACGTGGCTTTTTACTCTCTATTTCCTTTTTAACTCTAAATAATATACTTATTTTAAAATCATAATTTATTTTATTAAATCAAATATATTTCGAATATTTTCCATGTATAGGACTTTTTTTAAAAACCAAGTATATGAATGAACATTTTGAAACTTTACATTGTACTTGTAAGCCAATTTTAAATAACTAGGTAGTAAACTTTAATATTACAATATATTATTAAATCCGTAATTCAAACAAAAAACATAAATTAAAAATATATTAAAAAATAAAATAAAATCAATGTTTATTGGTGCATCTGTTTCTGCTGTTATTTTTTCTATTTTAAGGCTGTACATTTAAATGTTGCAATAATGAGAGTTAGAATAAATCACTTAAATGTCAAACTGTTTAAAAATATGTTTTTTTGAATCTTATGGAGTTGAATGTAGTTTCATCAAATTTTATTTGAACTATATAACTGCCTTGGCAGTCTCCAATAAGTACATATTCTAAAAACTTAAGTCCTCAAGATATTTCAAAGAGTAAATTTTAAAATAAAAACAAAATCTTTAAAATGGACTCTGTTGAAAAATCAATTTGTAAGACACTTTGACACTAATTCACAACACACTTGAGCACAAAATGTTTTTTGCATTGTAATTTCATCTGTTTAATTTTCAAAGATTTAGTTGTATGCAGTTTTTAATTAAAAAATGGCTGTATTACTTTTATATATATATATATATATATATATATATATATATATTAAAAACAACTCTTTTATATGTGGATCATTTTGTAACATATATATATATATATATATATATGTGTGTGTGTGTGTGTTTATTAAAAATAACCCTTTTATATGTGGATCATTTAGCAATTGAATTCATGAATTCATATCTATGTATATATATAGAGAGAGAGAGGCTTGTCAAGGTCAACTTAAACTAAAATTTATCTCAAATTGTTTTAAGACCATGTTTTGTTCATCTGTAGATTTAATTAATTATATATATGCATATATGCAAAAAAAAATGTGTATTTTTATCTATTTATACATTTATTTATATAATTCCAATTTCAATTTCAATCATGTCTTCAACAATTTGATGGTAGTACAATCTTCTTGTAAGTTTTATCTTTGTTGCATACATGCCAACATAAAATGCATCTGTCTTTACATGCAATTAAGCATGATAATAAGGAGATTATACATCAAATTAAGCTATAGTATTCTATATAACCTGTCAATTGGCAACAATCCTTGTGAATTATATTTTAATTAATATCACTGACTTGAACTCAGAAAAAATATTCATTGAAATAATAATAACAATAAAAATAATAACAATAACATTTAGAGTTTTATGATTTTTTTCTTAATGAAAATAATTTTTATCCATGACTAATTTTAATTATAAAGATATATTTAACTTAAAACAAAAAAATAATATTTTAAAATTACAAAATATCTATACAGAATGAAAAAATCATATATATATATATATATATACTGTCATGAAAAAATAAAGATATTCAACTTTTAATATACAAATATAATAATATTATAATTTCAATTGAAAAATTTAAGAATTCTAAATATTTTTTAAAAAATTACAAGTTATATATATATATATATATATATATATATATATATTTACAATTTTATTTCTAAAATATTTATTATTGCATACTTCTTCAGTGATTCTTTGATATAAACAACCTATATATTCTTTGATATATAACAACCTATTCTTTATTCTTTAGTTTATAATTCTTAAATTGTATAAGCTACATATGTCTTTAATTAATATTTAAACAAGTTGTGATGCATGCTATAATGGACAAGCGTATACAAACTTAGGCCCTTACTATTAAATGTCTTATATTTTTTCTAACTTTCTTGTAACTAACTCCAATATTGGCTCTAAGTGGTTATCAAACATCTCTTATTTGACCCTTTATGACTTATCTAAGAGTTCTTTACTAAATCTTGCATCTAAACTTAAGAATCTTTGTTTGCATTTATTGTGCCTTATTTAACTATTCATTTTAATACTTGCCAAAGCAAGATTTGGTTTCAATATCAATCATGGCTTACATTGCTTTAAAATTCTTTTTAAAAGTAGTAATTTTTTTGAAGTTGCTACATTTCCAAGATGTTGATATTGTCTCTTTTTCATTTGAGCCCTTCTTAAGTGACTTTCCAATACTTTCATTAGAGTCACTACTTCATATTATATTCTTACTTAATTCTTTTAAATCTCAAACAATGTTATATCAATTGACTTTGAATGCAACTCCAAGATACATCTTTTGGTTACTACAAGAACAATTGTTGGTTGTTAAATACTTGCTTTATTCTATACCTGCTTCTACCTTTTGGTCCAAACATGATTAATTGGTCGTGCATCAAAAAGACCCAATTTAAAATATTAACTTTTCTAATGTATTATAAACCTTGCCTCAATAATCTTTTCAAGCTTCCTTCAAAAATCTCCTCACATGCATCCATCTCTTGGTTGTTATACCTCAAGTTTCCCTTTTCACCATTACAACCCTTATTTTCAACAATTCGTTATGTTCATTTTAGGAACTTTGTGATTAACACCCTAAATGTCAAAGCCGTTTTTTTCTACAGCCCCCTAAGTATTGATAATCTTGTAAAGCAAATTCATGTACAAAAACTAAGAATAGTCTTTTAAGCTTCAAGTGAACAAATAGCTGATTCATCCATGCAATAGTCTAGCAAACATCATGGTGCCGGACCAGGCGATGGACTGTAGGTAAGTCACCAGTTACTAATCAGGAAGGTAGTTATCCAGACCCGACGAGGTAGGCAGGAAGGTAGGTAGCCGCCAATAGGTGGTGCGAGCAACGTGCTTGGGCGAGGGCAATGCGTGCTCCTGCGCGTGCCAATCGGATTCATCACAGTGGACGTTTAGTTGCAAGCGGGCAAGTCGTGATTCTCATTTATGGACGGCAAAGTCCTCATGAGATCAATGCGGAGATCATCGACAATTTGTGCATGGAACACAAAACCCACTACATTATTCCAAGCAACAGTCTGTCTCTTCGTCCCATTTGCACACGTGAACAAGCATGTCGTTAGAATCAGTTCCTGGCGCACTGTTTGGTCTCGGGCACGGACATCGTGGTGTTGTGCTTCACGTCTGCCAGAGTTCTTTCTGGGATGCTGCTGCATGAACGTAGCTTGAGCGTGTTGGCATGCCAATACGTGGACAAAATTGTGATTATTGGGGCCCCATGGAAAGTGAGCAAAGACATGGTGCATTCTTCTGACTTTTTGTCTTATACCGCACTTGGTTCATTTCCATCTTGATGTATTATTGAAGTTTTCGTGTATTGGATGATATTAAGATCGTTGAGAGTACTTTTTGCTACTTGGAGTTTTGTTGGCGTGCACATGCAGATAATAGCGTTCAATGTGTCGATGGTGGAGTATGGAGATTGTGCAGAAGCGAATGAGTTGAAATATGGGAGTCCAAATGTTGATACATTCAGTTAGGTTTGAAGAGGACAAAATATTCTAACTGAACTGATAGGGGTATTACTGAACAGAGTTTCGAACTGCGGTGTTGCGTTCTATTTCAGAGCTATCTCCAAGTTCTCTGCGTTTCCTCATCACTGTGACCGAGAATGCTGACGATCGTTTCGTGTTTATAACAGGAAGAGATCGACACTCACACAGCAGCTAAGACAATGGAAACATTTGAAGAACTATGAGTCCTCAAAATATCACGCCGTCTACCATTATCAATCGCATAGTTGCAATATAACCGAAGTGTTTGTTTTAATGCGAAACGATTGGATTTTAGGGTGAACACAGTGATGGATTGCAAGAGTCCACGACGTACAGATGATTGAAAGTTTTCGTGGTGATTGTGGCTGCCTGTTTTTCAGAAGTGGAATCAAAAAGCGAGAAACAACACCAGCAATTGTTGGTGTGTTAACTGCGATTAGAGTTAGCTTCTATGCGTAGAGCCACGATCTAGTGGCGACATTGTTGCTCTCTATGTGGAGTTGGTCTGAAATGGCAGGAGTAAGCTAGTGAATGTATGATTTGATTTTTGTCAAACTGGTTTTTAGTCTCCGTAGTGGGCGAATTCAAACTGACACCTGCAGATCTCTGACACGGTGATCATGTATCACATTACACTCTGATTTCTTGATTTGCTGCATCTCATCTGAGAGCAAGTTGGATACCTTTTTTTGCACTGCATCGGTGTCCTGAGTGTAGCAGAAATGCTGTTAGCAACTCAAGGTGTGCTTATCCCCTTAGGTTAAGGACCGGATTGCCTGACAATCTGGTATTTTGATAGAGGCGAACCTCTTGCAGAATGTGCTCGCTATAGGACAGTTTAAGTGTTGGAACGACCCCTACCCAGCGAGTAGGTTTGATCGTCTGAAATGTTTAAATTTAGAAGTCTCGGCTTCATTGCATTTATCTCTTTGAATCGTGCGCGACAAGAAGACGGAGACCTATTGGCCATGTTCGTTTTCGGACGTCAATGAAGGACCATTTTCAATCGAAAATCGGTTCATACATGAACATACCCTTAGGGTTTCTGCACCTGTGATGTGGATCTCTGTCAGTTTATTCCTCCAAGTCTTGATTGGCAGTTATCCGTTCGAAGTTGACTTTAGGCTACATAGTAATTTAATGTTCGTGACCTTCAATAGTTCCCGTCTTTAGTAGCCTCTGAAAACATGTAAATGCATTCACAATTTTGTGGCTGAAGTCAAAACCATAACCTGGTGAGTGCCTACATACGTTCTAGCAGTCACTGCTAATCAATAGAGCAACTAGAGAAGACCAAGCGAAACTACCAAAGCAGATGACTTTAACATTTCAATTGAAGTGCCAATTGTAAAGAGCCATAACAATTCAAATAACTGTTAGCAGCTGTCCTCCAACGGCTCAATTTCGGAACTAAGGACTCTTGAGTAATGCAGCTTGCCAGAGCGGAACACGCTCTACAGACGACTGAAGGTCCAATATGAAGGGATGCTGGCCAAAGACTTGAACACTAAAATAGAAGCGAAATCTCAACTATGGAAAAGTTAACAAGATGTGGTCTTGAAACAGACAAGCAAAAAGGGCACCGCAAAATAATATCCAGACAATTGCTGCCTTCAACACCAGCTCGACAGTATAAATGACTACTCATTAACAATATAGCAAGTTGCTTCAAGCCCCTTCAAGCTCCTTCAAGCACCACCAAGCTTCTCCAAGCGCCACCAAGCTTGGATTAGCCCCAGCTGAACACCTATCATGTATCAATCTACAAACAGTGCTACTCACAAACTCAATGCTAGAATCTAAGTGCTGGTGTCCACGTCCTGCGAGGATGGAGGTCGAGGAGGCTTCTTGGCCTTCTTGCTTCGGCCTTTCTTTTCACGCATGCGGCGTTTCTTCTCTTCCATATCAATCCATCGGTAATTCGGAGGAATCATAAATGGGTCAGCTTCTTCCTCAAGCTGATCCTCCAAGCTGCTCACTGCAGCGCTCTTACCTGGCCCTGGCGCACCTCTCATCCAGTGCAGCCAGGAGTTCTGAGATGGGGCTGGCGCTGCATCTGGTTCTGATTTGGCGTCACTGAAATGCCTGGGACTGGATAAGGGGGTTGAAAACTCTTCCGACGGCTTCAATTCCTCGAACTTAGTGAATGTGATAACCACTCTGATGGTGGGCACCACGGGAATAGCCACCTGCGGAAGCATATCGCAAATGAAAGGATCAGCCAAAAACGTACCTTCAAAAGTGTGCATGTGCACGGAATTCGTATTTACATACCAGTCATTAAAACGGGTAACGACAAAAACGATAGAATTAGCATTTAAAATAGATCAAATCTATGAGCTGAAAAACTAAATTAAAAATCGAATTGCTAGTTTAGGCTTGAACTCAAACTGAGCGTCTAAACAAACCTTGACAGGAAAGGTTCCTGGGGGCAACTTTGTGGTGAGCAATTCACGCAATCGCCGAACTGCCTTGACCTTGTTTGCCAAAATGTCCAGAAGCGGCAACAATTCCTCGGTCTTCAAAGGGAAGTCAGGTGTCAGCCACAATATTGGCCTCAGTCCTTTTTTGTACTCACTCTCCGGTGTAGCCTCAGGCTTGGCAGCACCACGACGGGACCTGCTCTTGATCAGCTCTTTACTACTCGTACTATGTCTACCACTCTTCAGTTCTTTCCCCTTTCCTTTCGTAACCAGGTCGTCAACATTAGACGGTCGCCGATCTACTGACAGCCGATTCTGGTTTTCATATGCAGCCAACTGACTATCTACAGACCTCCGACCATCCACCGATTTCCTTTGCTTCACTAACTTTGTTTCAAGGACTTGTTTGGATTTCTTAGGAGCTTCAGAATTTGAGTGGCCTGAATCACTCAGAGGCTCCAGCTTCTTAGAACCTTTGACACTCTTCTTTCCCCAAGCATACCAACGACTCCTCTTCTCGTCTTTAGAAGAGCCAGACAATTCACCATTCCCATTCTCGTGGGGTGATTGTTTATGAGGGTCAGATTCGTCGTCTGGAAAGCCATCACTTAAATCTTCGTTCGAGCAATCATAATTTCCATTTTGCAACTCATGGTCCAGTCTTCCTGCACCACCAGAGCGGTCCTCTTCATCCAAATGCTCTGACTTCAGAACATTTTCTAGCTGCTCTTTCTCTGCAGTTGTGAGCAGATTGCTATAGTCTTCATCTGCCTCTGTGTCTACTCTGTCACTATCGACTGCAAATAACTCCTCATCCGTCATAGCACCAGGAACTCTTCTAGATCTAACACTGACCTGCAAATAAAAGTTCCCGTGCTCTGTAAATATGGATGAACCCATACCAAATAACATGAACAAATGACCACGTGTCGCTAAGAACTTACGTCCCATGAACTTAATGTCACGATAGAAAATGGATTATACTGCAGACCCTACAATTCGAAAATCAAAGCAAATAGTCACCTTTCTCAATAAAAATATGCACCCTAACCAAAACAATTAAAAATCGAAAGTAAACTCCACTCAGGCGCTCGTTCAGCAGACTCTACCACAATGTAGGGACACAACACACCATTTTGAAGAGATCATATTTACCTGAACATGGTGCATGTCATAAACTTTAGCCTTCCATGCTCCAACCAATTCCGTCTTTTCTTGTCGCCTCCAAGAAGTTTGAGCCACAAGTTCCGCCTCAGTGACATCAATACCTGCAATAGCGAGTTCACTTCGGATGATGAGTACTTTCTCATAAATGTAACCATCCCACCAAGTGCACACTAGATTGAGTCTCCCTGCCCGATTGATGCCATCGAAGAAATGCCTCGGCATCGGATAAAGCAACACCACATACAACAAATATTTAGAAAAACGAAATATTCGAGTGTGTCGTGTACTCAAAGCCAAAGGAAACACCCCCTATTTGAATTTTAGTACGACAATCGAATAACCATTCACTGTAATTGGAAGGCAAGAGCCTCTAGCGAGTTCCTAAAGCTACAGCCAGATCGGATAGTGCATTCTAATAAGGTAAATCGTCACGTAAAGAACCTCAGGCCAAAATAACTACAAGCTGGTCGGGAGGAAGTAAAAAATTCCAGCTGAAATCCTCGTTTTTCGCTCTGAACGGCTTCCGTTACTGTCGATTCATAGGCAACAAGGCGCCAGCTTCGAATGGATATTACCTGGCCTGTACATGTTTGTCCTTGACATGGCAGCAACTTCTTGTGCAATCTCATACTCTGAGGGCTGTAATCCAGCACCCTCCAATGCATTAGCAACCTCCTTGTCCTTGTGGGTCAGGACACAAAGAGAACCAGGTGCAAGTTTTCCATCTTCGCTTCCATCACCCAAAAACACGAAGCTCTGATCAGACCTGTGGATTCGAAACCCATCAAAGCCTGCTAGTGTCATATCAGCTCTGAGATTGGAGCCCCGTTTCCATATCCGGTACGTATCAGACGGTGCAATGCGACCTATGAAAGGGATGACAGAGCTTTCGAAATGAAAAGAAATCTCCATGTAAAAATCCCGCATCCGATGCATGGTAGCTGAGAGGCGCGGCAGACGTCGGCACCACTTGGCCCACGCCATGGGCTGGTAGTGCCGCGTGATAATGATGGCGATTTCCTCCTCTCTCGCACATACAGCTTCCTGCAATGCACTCCAACCCTGCTCGTTTTGCAAGCTCCAGTCTGCTCCAGCACTCATCAACCTCTCCACGGCATCCGCGTCTCCGAGCCTCACAGCCAAATGCAATGGTGTCTCACGACCTGGCACATCACGCCTATCTATCACTTTCGAAATTTCGTCCGCTCGCTCCTCTGCAGCAATGGACTCCGCTTCTGTTGTCACCTCTCCCGCTTTTGAAGGACGTGGCAACTTCGACAGAATACGCTGCAGGGTAATGTGGTCTCGCCGTGCTACAGCGGCGTGCACAGGGTTTTTGTCATAAGCTGCCAGCTCCAAACCCGAAAGCTGCGCCATTTTCTCCCAGTTCCTCTACTCTACCCCCTGGCTACAATAGGCTCTTTGCAAGCAATATTCTGCCTTGCTCGCATCTGCCTCCAGCTTACCCTGCTTCCTGGTTCAACTACCCCCACAGCCAGTCCAACCCTAGTGAAACTCTCCAGCTCTACAATATCCCTAGACCTAAAAGTTCTTGACGCTCAGGCCCTCTTCCAGATAACCACAGGCTAATGAAAATCACCGCCTCCTCTTCTCCAAAAATCCCTCAAAGGATACAAGTGCTTGAATGTTGGCGTCGATACCATCCTCTACACCCGTCAACTCTCCTGAAGCCGCCCACGGGCCGAGGAATGGCAGCACGCAACTTCGTAAGACGAAAATCTCCTTTGAATGGGTTGACCATGATTAAAATCATATTAAGCTAAACCTTCCACTCTTCACTCTACATGCCACTCTTCGTTGCTGGCATCACAAAGAAAAGATTTCGCAAGACAGCCTCCCGCCTGATGACCCCCCACATCTTTGTTCACACCTCTCTTTCCCCCGCTGCCTGGCTGAAGACCAACTCCCAACAGCCAAACTGAGCCGGTTGCTGACGATCCCTTTCTTCCCCCGCAACGCCTGACCGGTTCCCCTTCGCGTGTTCACTACATACATATAATACAAACCCCGAGAGTCCCCCAAACAAGTCGCGGAAACGTCCCCACGCGACGATAACCGTCAAAAGCTCCTCGCTGCCGATCCGCTAAACCAACGAATCAGGGCAAAAACCGGCACACGAAGCCCCCATTCGGAGCACCCATAGCTTCTCCGCTCTGACATCGAATCCCAACCATCACAGTTCACCTTACATATCAATGCCGCCGTACCTCAAACGAACAACCACGGTGGAGCGTTCCGTCACATCCACCTCCAGCGTCACATCGCTAAAAACCAAACCCCCAAAAAGAAGCCGACACCGTATCCGGTGTGCATTCCCGCCAACATCTTCCCCCTTCCCCCTCCTCCTCCAAGAACGAGAAATCTCAGACGAAACCCACAGACATGATTCACCAAAACATCGCTCCCAACCGCAGTTCAGGAGTCTCTATCAGTTTTCTGCAACCGCCTCAAATCCCGCCCACTCCCGAAGCTGGGTATAAGACAGCGTCAACGGAAACATTAAATGCCTCGAAACACCAGATACCATTACTCCTCGACTTGAGAATCTATTTCGGTTCCGCTCTTTGACTCCGGAGGATTAGTTTCAGGGGAGAGAAGAAATGAGTGCTTGGTGTCGGTTACAAAGGCCAACCTGAGGCGAAAATCGGGGCGCGAGGGAGCGCAGGAAGATGAAGATGAGGATGATGATGATGGATCTGCACCACCACAGCCCCTGTGCATGCGAATGAATGCCGCTCAGCAGGCTTAGCAGTAAAGCTCAGCTTTGCTTGCTAGCGAGGTCTGCCTCGGCTTCCACAGTCTTCGCAGTCTTAGCAGGTCGCTGCACACCTACCGATCTACCGACCGACCGACCAACCTTCCTACCTGCCTACTTGGTCACATCCCGCTCAACCTACCGACTTGCCAGTCTGTCTTCTTACATAACTTTCAGCCCATCTGCCTAAGTACCTACCTACCAAATTCCTAGGTTCCAGCCCACCTGCCGACTCCTGGCGCCTTGAATAAAGTTTCCGACCCTCCTTTATGGGATCTAGTTACCCTGCAGCAGCAGCAACTGGGCCACATGGTCTGCTTTGCAGCTGGGCTGTCTGTAGTTCTCGGACGGCTGCCATCATTGGTCTCGTTTTCTTCGCCCCTTCGTCACGCTTTCATTCATCCTATTCTTTGCCCATCCGTTTGTGCTTCTGTTCGTCGGTCCGCGGAAGTGGGGGGGGGTGCCAATGGGTGGGTAGGTGGGTGGGTAGGTTTTGCTTTTTATCTTTCGAAGCTTGGCAATAGAGGGGGGGGTCATTTATTGGGGGAACTATGTTGGACAGACTTCGTTGAACGAGACACTTACTCTGTGGATGATAATCATTCGTCCATTGAGGAGGAGTCATTTATTAGTGCATCTTTCGAGTTAATTCACTGCCGTGAGGATTGAAGTCCCTCTTTTTATCTTACTTTTATCTTTCTTTCTTTCTTGCTTTGCTTTGCTTTGCTTTGATTTCCTCTGTTCTTTCTTTTTGTATGACTTGCTCTTTTTCATTTCTTTTCCTTGTCTTATGTTATTTTATTTTATTTTATCTGCTTTAGCTGTAACAGTCTGACAAAGTGTTTGTGGAATGTAGGAAAGAACAATCGTTTTCAGATTTCACGTTCCATGCCACACTCCATGTCTAATATTGCCACAATGAAAATTGTTTTTTTGTCTGATATTGCAGAATATCCTAATTTATTTTAATTCTGTCATACAGACGTGTCTGGATCATAGTTGATGATCAGAGTCCTTCATAAAAGAAATAAAGTTGTTCAGATATATATATAGTCATGCATATAATGGCAAATATGTAAAAGATCAGATTCTTTTTCCCATGTTGTAAAAGAGTTTTTTATTTTTATTAATAAATATGTGAATAAATAAGAAAATCTAAATTGTCATTTTTGTATATTTCCTTGTTGGCATTCCAAACTATACTAGTCTTGTTGTGTACACATACGATTGGATTTAATTGACAAAAGTTTTCAGTTTAAGCATATTTCAATTTAATTACAGGCTATATTTCCTTTCATTCAAATTTACCTGAGTTGAAGGTGTAATATATTATTTGAATGAAAGAAAATAATGCCCGTAAGTGATTTGTTTTTGCACTTTTAAAAGAAAATCCCTTAACAGAATATTTATAGTTTTATTTCTTTTCCTTATTTTAGTTTAAATTAAATTCTCGTTTTCAAAAATGAAATAATATAATTCATGGTTGTACGCATGATCACCAGTTGATATTTCGGTAATATTCTCTAGAAACTGATTTGTGAATGATGAATGATGTTTATTTTCTTTCTTATTTCTCGAGAACAAGATAGTTGACATGTGTATTTAATCAAAATTTATTTTACCCATTTATTTTATTTTTAAATTAATATTTACAGAAACAAGTGACTCATACTACATTTTTTTAAATAATAACAAAGGCATGTGCCACATTCATATTTATTTTAAGGAAAATAAATCTAAAATAAAATGTGATACATGTATTTATCAATTTTTTGCATATTATAAAACAACCATCTAATATATGGCTGTCTATACCAAAATTCATGAGTAGATGCATCATAAGCAACAAGAGCTCTATGATCAATAGTTTATTGAGTATCAAATTAAGACAGATAAATATATCAATTCATTTAATTTTAAGCAATGATTGCAGAAAGGATATGTCTCTTTTGCATGTTATCTTTGAAAAATAAATTTAAAATGTTGACCAAGTCAAGTCAATCTATAAGAATGTGTACAATGCATATAGCATTCAACTGCTGAATTTTATCAAATATTGAGTACCATGTCTTAAAGTAGTTTTGAATATAGCTATTACATCTTAAAGCAACTTGAGTGAATTAAAAAAAAGAAGAAGCTAATCTAACAAGTCCAAAAACTAACATATATGTGTTATTTGTAAACACAAGTAGTTGATAAAATATACTCTAGTACAAGTTAGACGGTTGTTTTTCCAAAATTATTATTGTTATTATTATTATTATTTATTCTTCTCTCATGTGAATATATATATATATATATATATACACACACACATATACATATACAAAAATAAAGAAAAGCATGGCCAACCTCACTTCAATCAAGTCTTCAAATGCAAGTTCTACTTTGGGTTCCAAAGTCAAATCATAATTTCATACAACCCATGAGTTACTTACACTTTCCACACATGCATAGTACCCCAACAAAGTACATTGCATTTCAAAATTCCCTTATTTCCACTACCAACTCACACTTTATTGGATTTTTTTTCATTCAATGAACAAGGGAGTGCATAGTTATTACGATCATTGTCACTATCACAACAATGATGATGATAATGGTGGTTTATGGGGTGAAGAACCCACTAAGCGGACTATCACTCCTACTACCATACAAAAAGGAAGAAAAAGAAAGATAAAATATAATCACCTTCCTTATTTCCTTTCTCACAACACATGAATTCATTATTGGCCTTTGGAACATATGTAGATGAAGAAAGATCTCCATAACCTTTGAAGGACATATCAACTACAAAAAATAAAATGGTGGATTTTACAAATCCTATGGACACAATGCCTTGAAACCCTAAAACCTATATGGGCACTAACCCTAAAACCCACATTAGCCCAAGCCCCCAAAAACCAATGGCATAAGGTTGGGCATTTGATGTTATGTACTGCCCAAGGGGTGAAAAGAAGGGATGGGCATCTATGAAATTTTATGTGAATTATACTTGCAAGGAGTATTGGTGGGATGGGGTGAAGCCCTCACAAAATGGAGCCACAACTTTTGACATTAATTTGGGATATTTCACATCCCATGTTTTGTGTTGTTTGACCATATATTTTGAATTGCTTATAGAGTTTGGCTATTTTTTTTATTTTTATTTTTATTTTTTTACTTGTTTTTGGAGTGTATGTATAATGGATTTACTTTTTGGCTTTATTATTATTATTTTAATAATATTTTTCTTTTTACATAATCATATTTACTAGTTTTGCTAAAAACCTCATTCAAGGATTGAACTTATTTATTTATTTTATATGCTTGAATTATCCATTAATAAAAACATTTAACACCTATATTTTAAAATTTTAGACATGTTTACAATTAATTTCTCACTAGCACAATAGATATTTATATTTATTTTTTTTTATTTATTTTTTCTATTATTTTGCCTTAGGTTGTTTAGCAGCCAAATTTACTGAACTAACTGTGATTAATGAATTTAGTTCAAAATTATTTATTATGATCATTTTTCAATTGGTTCTTTTTTAAATAGTCGTTTTATTTCATATTAAAATGATCTGTAGCTTGAGATTATTGTAGCCATGAAGAATAGATTATATTTCCAATTAAATTCTTAATAATTTATTGTAAATATTAAAATTCTATAAGGCATAAATTATAATATGTGTTATATATATATATATATATATATATATATATATATATCTATATAAAAGAAAGTACATTTTTAGCTTACATTTATTGCAACAATTGTAACAATTGTAACATTTTTTTCTCCCATATAATTCAAAATTAAATTAAAAGCTTTATATAAGATTCTAAGTTTTTCCAATTAAGTATAATTATTTTTATAAAAATATTTATAATAATTTTTATTTTAATCAAGATCACACATTCTTATAAATCTTCTTATTTATTTATTTATAATTTTTTAATCATTGTTTTTGATATTATGCAGTAAATTGTTATTTATTTTAATTTTTAGAATTTCGGAGTATTAGAATTTTAAATTTCAAACTCTAATTATAACCATCAAACATAAATCTATTGCATAGAGAATTTTATATTAGTTGTTGATAATATTATAATATTTTTTTTGCATAATATTCATATAGTTTTATGTTAGTCATATGTATTTCACAAAATCATATATTATAAAAAAACTAAATCACAAATAATTTATTTATAATTAAGTATTTAAAGTTCATTTTATTTTATCTTTTGTGTCAGATTCTTTTTTAATACTGTAACTTCTTTTATATATTGGATTCTGTAAAATGATGGAATTTAAATCTTCCTTCTTATTGTGTAATTCTATTGTAAAATCTCATGTTGTTTAAAATATACTATTTTAAACTTTATTTAATATTAATCTTTTTAAAATTTTAGTGTCTTTTTATACAGTATAAATATACACTTTAGGTTTTAAAAAAACCATATATGTATATAATTTATAAGAAATTTATGCTCATTGAAATAAAACTTTATGTTTGTACACTATTAATTACAACCAAATTCTATGTTTTTAAATATTCATTTTAAAGCATAATGGAGCAGACCACATAACACCATCATTTTAGTGCCAATTTTCAAATCACCCATTCGGTGTACAGGTCACATTCTTTGCTTTCTAGAGAAAGCAAAATTAGTTAGCTATGGCATCTTTAAGTTAAGAGCATTACTCAAAACCCTCAGTGAATTGAGAGGCTGAAGGGCAAAGTTCATGTCCTTTGTGGAAAATGACCTGATTTTAATGCCAAGAATACTGATCATGTAACTCAACTTTTTCTCATTATCCTCCACAAACATGTACTCGTCACTTAATTGATATTTAAAAACATCAAGGAAAGAATACTAAAATCATCAGTGTGAAGTTGTATTTAATTATGAACTTAGTCAAATTCTACGTCAGTTTTGGGTGGGCTGCTCAATCCATGTGATTCCAAGTTATTGGGAGGATATTGAAGTTTGAAATCACTTTTCACACACAAAGGAACCCAAAGTTGAGATTTAAAAGCATACATGGCTTACTTTGTACAAAGCAATGAATTTGTACTCAAAACATTGTAAACAAGGACACTAGAGTAGCTAAGGGACAACAAAAGTGGCGAGGAAAAATATTTTAGACGTCGCTCTCTTGTTGTGACTTTATTCATATTTGTTCTTTACTTGTAACTGTAATTTCAAAATCCAAAAGTTTAACCTACTAGACTAATTTGAGGGTATATTAGTTCCTAGTGTGTAAACCAATATCTTACACCAAATAACAATCGGCAGACCATGCTCTTGCACATTGCAGATTAATCATCAGCAGAAAACTAACCTTTCTTTCACTACACCATAACCAGTTGTGAAATTTAAGCACATCTTCACATAAAAATGGTAGTAATCTTCAGGATAACAGAAAATGAACAGCTTTGGCAGACATGCGTTTGGCAGTTCGCATTCATCAATTAAAGCTCCAATATGTTCCAATTTTCTACCCACATAAACCACTACAGCAATGTTAAACACGTACAAGTCCAAAGATAACATCGGAAATTTCAGGAGGAATAGCTTACTGCGTGTTGTGTTCCTAAAAACATGAAATCTATGTACAGGCAGTCAAAGTATAGATACTACGACACACCTGGTCAACGAGTTTGAATTTGCAGAATTGGCTGTCCATGTGTGCATGTAGCAGCAAATAAACGCTCCCTTCCACTACTAAATGAAGACTTCACGACTGTATACCTGTTATTGCAGTGACACAATCATTTTAATTAAGCTAGGCTTCAATAAAAAAGCTTCATTTACATCCGCAGTTCAATTTATCAGTATTTCCCGGTCGTAGTGTGAACATTTGTTCACATGCATGTTGTGTTAAGCTGCTTTAATGTTTGAAGAAAGTCCATGTTTTGACCACAAAGATGTGACGCCATAGCTCAGGTTTTACGGGACATGACCGACACCTGAATTTTCTGCATTACGCCCACGAACAGCTTGTCTTGTCCACAGCAGAGTGCTGTAACAGCTGCCTGACTGCATTTCCTCTCAACTGAAATCGGAGCACCACTCAATATATCTTCAAGTGCCCATGCCTGCAAACAACATCCATATGTGGATTCATCAAATGCAAGAAAGACTTCCAACTGCAAGTCGCTTGAACATCTCCAAGCCACCATTCAGTGCAGAAATTGATACAAACAACGCATTTGAGCAATTCAACATGAAGTTAAATCAAGAAGAGATAAGGAATGAGGAATACCTTAATAAAACCATCCCAACTGATACTATAAAGCCAACTTTGGTCAAAAGCAAGTGCCGAGACTACCCCTGTGTGCGCTTTTAAGCTGCCCACACAGTCTTCTTCGTTCCAAATCTGCACCATCCAAGCATGATTCACTCTGATATACATAAGATCTTCAAACCATTGTTCCTGTGAACATTGTAATCGTAAAGAAGAGATCAATATCATAAAGCCTAATGTTCCAATGTAAATTCATCGGGAGCTCATCTAATCATTGTGAATAATCTAAGGTCACCAACAAAGCTTCGTTTCTTATCAGACAATAGGATTACTCACCTGAATGACACCGGAATCATGACCTGCAAATAACAGGCCATTGGGGGTGGGACATTTCACAAGTGCACGAATCCCACCAAGAAAAACGCTGGTGGCCCCGCCAAAGTTCGCCAGAGGACTGTGATCTGGACGCCACCACAATCTCACTGTGCCGTCCCAACTGCCACTGTACAGCATTTGTCCATCCACCATCAACGTTGATACCACATCTTTGTGTCCCTCCATCATAGCAACATGCTGGAAGTCCTGTAAATATAACAATAAGAGATGCTTAACACTCTTTTAACGATTGCAGTTCTTCCGCCAACCAACTCATGCAGAGGACTCGTGCTACGTAAAAAAGTTGCCATCGGTAATTTATATTTAGAAATTCAAATCATTTTAGTACCGCGACAACAATTTGAAGAGTGAGGAAGAAAATGCAGTACCACAGTAGACCATGCCTTGATTGTCCGATCACCGCTTCCACTGTAGAGAAATTCATCATTAGAGATGGCGAGAGAGGCAACTCCTGAAAATCGCCAATCTTGATGCTCCAGCCATGTAGTCACGGATGCTGAGTTGCCTATGGAAGCAATATTCCAAGCGTGGATGCGGCCCCCATAGTCACCACTAAAGCAGAGTCCTGATGCTTCATGCGCAGCGATTGCAGTGATCCTCTGCTCATGACCTTCAAAAACCTGGACCGTTTTATAATCCTGTTCCCATTTAAGTACCGTAAATGTATCAGCGAATAAGGCAGTACGCTTGATGAATACATGAACCGACAACAATGATCGACATAAGTTAAATCATCGGCATCCAGTGAAAGGCGAAATTATTGTGAAGAGGCAACGTTTCTATCAACAACTTAACAGCTGCAGACAACCTAGAGAAGAGGGTCATGTTGAAGGTCGCATACAACGTCTAACTTACACTGAGGGACCAGACTCGCAGAGTCTTATCATAAGAAGCACTGATTACATAACTTCCTGCATGAACGAAGACAACATATTCCCATCAATGATAACTCGTTTCGTTACTCGCAAGGAGGGATTATCACATAAGAGCGCAGCGTAACGAAGCAACTTGGTGCGTAGCTCATGATGGTATCATGCTGTAATATATTCGACAGCGATATTCAAAGGATATAATCATATCAACAGAACATTCTCATTTTAAAACTTCACATGATGCATAAGTTTCTCCGAAGTGGAAAGTGATCACACCGCAAATACATAAGGACGATACTGCATCTAGATGGCCTTGAAGAGTTTTCACGTTGCATTCCTCGACATCAATCAATGCCCTTGGCAAGCTTGGAGCATCCGGTATGGTCTCTATTGTAGAAGTCTGAAGATCTTCTGAACCACTCGCTCTTTCCTCAGTAGCTGTTTCTGGCTCGATCCAGCAATTATAGGAAGGTGGATTGCCTGAAAAGCTTCCAGATCCACCAATCTCTACGCCCAGCTTGTCTTGCTTAGAATCTTCTGGTAAATGAGGAGGCATACATAAGGCTTGATCATCGAGCAAATGTTTCAGTTCCCACCATATATCAACTACTCGTGGCCTGATACTTGGGACATTTGCCATGCAGTTCAGTAGCTGCTCCTTCAAACGTACATTTTCCTCCAGAATTTCTTGCTTTGCACCCTTTCCGTGCTCATCACCATGGACCTCTGAGGCCGTTAAGTCTCCTAGAAGTGAGCTTCCTGATAGCAGTTGCAGTAAAAGATACCCTAAGGACCAGACATCGGCCTTTTCAGTAAGTATTGCAGCCTCCGCCTTATCGCCACTTCCAAGAGATGAAATACCTGCTTCTTTCTCCGCATTTACAGGTTTCTTTAAAATTTCCAGGATTTCTGGGCTAAGATGCTCACAGGTGGAATTCAAGGAATCTGAGCATAGACTGTTTTTTTTGTCGATCTCCTCTTCGATAAGGAAACACACACCTAAATAATTCATACAAAACTTCATGTTTGACAATGTAGAAGTTTCCCCAATGCATGGTCTCCAAAATGTACTATTCCACACATGAAAACGAAAGTGACCATATTTATCCAACACGAACGAATCTGGTCCAAGTATACCCACAACAAGCCCAGCAGCATGTATCTCCATCAGTATTTCACAAAGTTCTACCCCTAACCTAATCAATGTTCTCAGAGAGCTCCTGCCAATATTGTTCTCTTCAGGGTTATCATATGAAGTGTTCTCTCCCTCCGCTGAGCAATGATCAGAACTACTATTCTCAGTAGCAGGAAAGAGCAGATTCCTAGCCTGCCTAATTCCTTCGACATAAACTTTAGAAGCGAGGAATAATGAACCTTCTACGGACATCCACAACCCAGCTATCTCGGCGAAGTAGTTGCAACGCCATCCAAGAGCAAGTAAATGCATCAATTTAGTTCGAACCTCATGATGCAACTTATTCCAAGCCGAGCGAACAAGCTCCGTATATTTCAATCCTCTGCTCCCCTCTTTCTCATTTGGATCGATCCTCGACAGAAATTGCAATCTCACCTCCTGCGAATTCGATTGCAGCTTCTTGTCACACGAAAAAACTCCAACACAAAACCCATAAACCATGGACTTCCTCCTCTTAACAGCCGCTTGTGGAAGTATCCAAATTGCAGGCTCCCCGTAGAAACACTCGAAGAGAGGTTGTGGGAATTCAGAATCCTCATCTCCCTGCTGATGAACGCCGGTAGGACCCTCCTCCTTCACTACCCTCGGAATCGATTCCCCAGAATTTCTCGCAATTCGAGGTGGAGGGACAGCTTGAATCAACCGCATGAGCTCAATGTTCTTCGGAAGCGCGAGGCGTCCTCCTAACGGCACCTTGGTGTGTTGCTTGCACTCGGGACACCGAACCAATCCACCCCCACCCTGTGTTCTCTGGGCTTGTGCTTCCCCCGACCCAGCTCCCCAATGCAATTGCAACTCCGCTACGCAGCTCTGGCAGACAGAGTGCCCGCATGACAGAACCCTGGGTGTGTGCTCTCCTTCATCGTACACTTGCAAGCACACTGCGCACTCAACCTCCATCGCTTCACTCTACCGTTGGCAAACATCACACACACTCTCTCTCTCTCCGAGGCACCAGCAGACACAACAAGAGAGAGAGAGCTCGAGAATGCTTGCTTGCTTGTCAAGCTCGCAACAGAAGCACCCACAAGCATCACCATGGACAGCGTTTCTACGGCCCCCACAAACTGGGCGAGCTCGGCGTACTCTGTTTTTCGTCCTCCCCCATTTCTCTCTCTCTCTCTCTCTTTTTTAATACTATTATTATCATTAGTATTAAGGCACTGTTAAATTGACCAATGCATATACTAAATCAACCCACCCATCATCATTGGTTGAAGATCCAACTATTTTTTCATTGATTTTCAACCAATATGGATTTAGCAATAGAGATTTTTTTGATGATGGTTAGGATAGGTGGATAAATTTAGTAAATACCTAGGTCAATTTAACAATTTCTTATTATTAGTTACTACTTTTAATGTTTCTAACTTATTGCCAAAGATGATAAATTTGTGTTGAAATGTATTGAGATAGCCACATATTGGATAGTATTGAGCTAGGAGAAGGTGATGAGATAAATAAGATTCAAAAGATAAATATAGAAATTAACAAAAAAAGTTCAAAAGTTACATAATGGTTCAAATTAACAAAAGTTACATAAGAATTAACAAATTGTCAAGGACATGAATTTCAAAGAACTAAAAAATCAATATATTCTTATATTACTCAAAAAGATTGAAGAATCACTTAAAGATGGTATAATATTAAACTAGAATGGCTATTACCATAGATAAGAATACTAGAAAGTTTTGAAAGATGACTGAGGACTAAAAAGGCATTGTTAAAAGTGAAGAATGTTTTATTCTTGCCTCTATATATGTTATTTAATTAGGAACTACATGATGATGTTCTATAGGATCTCTAATATATGTCTAAATTGCAAGACACATGTTTTAACTTATAAGATAAGTTTCCTATATGTATGCCACATAGTTAGCTTGTTCTACAAGCTATTAAGACATGGAATACATAACTAACTTGTTGATCAAGTTTTTAATCTACCAATCAACTACAAATATGTGTAAAAGTCAAAGCTGAGTCTATTAAGCTTCTAAGAAGCTTATCTACAAGATATTATCCAATTAGTCTACTTTTATCTAATCAAATAAGTAATTATTGGAATAAATATGCATGTCCATGACATTACCTCTTTCCTTCCTTCGAAAGAACAAGTTCCACAAGGAACAATGATTACATATTGGTGAAGTTTAAAATGCAACAAATTGTATTTGCTACATACTCTAATCTTTGCTTCCTTCAAAGGTAGTTGATAGGTCTTTTTAGCTATGAATAATATCCCATTCTAAGGTAAGAAGATCACTCCGTTATTTAGGCCTTTGTAACTTCTTTCAAACAATATATTTGTAAGACTATCAAGAGTCATTTCTACCTCTAATAAAATCACCAAACATTAGAAGTTTCTTCTAAGATTGTAATATCAAATGCATTGTATCTTGCCATCTATTAGAAGAAGAATATGTCATTTTTGCAGATCTTTATCTTGATTACATCAACTTCAAGGTTGTGACAATTGCAATATATAAACTCGAAGTCAACAAATAATAGCTCTTAGGTTGAATTTACTAGTTGTTGGTTTTCTGTTTTTTTAGTACCAAAAATATACAAAAATATTATAATAATAATAAAGATAATAAAGATTTATCATTTCATATCTTGATTTTGATAGATGCCATTGTTGAAAAATATCAACATTTTTTGTAGCATATACAAGATTCTTTACTGGCTCTCATCTGTATTTATTAATATCATATCCATGCTAATTAACAAGATATTTCAACGTCACATTGAGTCTAAGACTTCTTCTACTTCAAACTCTTCATTGTTATCCACTTTTATAGGAAGAAGTGGCATTTGTCTTCTTTTCAAGATATTTATTGTTTTACATGGCTCAAAAAGAAACATATAAAAAACAAGCTAGATCTTCATAGACATTGATAGATATAATTGATAGGCAACATAATTCATTTGTTTACAAATAAAAAATAGTTTAAGCCTATGATAATCCAACTTGTTATAAAAATGGCTAGTTTAGATATTATAATAAAGTAATCATATCTTCTTGCTAATATGGAATTGAGGTTGCTCCTTGCAATAAGTATCTGCATTGGTTTTTTGTCATTCTAGAGCTTCTTTTAATAGTGCCTTCATTTTTGTATGGAACTTAAATAAATAATTTTTCAAATCCTTCATTGCATGATTATCAACTTTTCAAAAATCAAAAGTATTAAATTATAGATGATAACTAGAATTAGTAAAAAAGTATTTATTATATAAAAGAATGTATTATATTATTATAAACAAACTTTGCCAATGGTAAAAGAATTATCCAATCATCTTGTTGGTAGTTAATGGTACACCTTAAATATTACTCCAAAACTTGATTTATATGTTTTTTTTGTCCATCTATTTTAGGTCAAAAGGTGTCAAGGACAAGAACTCGATAAAAAAACAATTCAGACAGGTAAGCCTTCACTCAAAGAGAGGTAACAAAATATATATAAACAAGTATATATATTGAAAGAGAAACTGGAATGGCTATTGCCAAAAGACAAAAAAACTAGGGACCCTTGAAACTAGACTAGAAGCAAGAAAAGAGTTGACAAGAGTGAAGAAGCCTTTACTCTTGTCTCTAAATATACTATCTAACTAAGGGCTACGTGGTGACGTTCAATAGGACCTCCAATATGTATTGACTTTGGAGGACACATGCCTTGACTTACAAGACAAGTTTTTCTACGTGTGGGCCACATAGTTAGCTTGATCTTCAAGCTAACAACATGTGTAGCACATGGCCAACTTGTTGACCACGTTTCTAATCCAAAAAGTCAATTAAAGATACCTATGAAGTCAAAGCAGTGTCTATGAAGCTTCTAGGAAGCTTCCATATTAAATACTATAGAATTAACTTACTTTTATCTACTTTTACTTACTTCTACCTATTTGTGTATATAATTATTAGCTTACATGATTATGTCGGTGACATTACCCCCCCTTCTAGGGACGAGTTCCACGAGGAGCGGTCATCATATGTTGAAGAAATCTATGATACGACAAATTATATTCGCCACATATTCTGATCTTTGTTCTCTTCAAAGATGATTGATAGGGCCTCTCAACCATCGGTAGTGTCCCATACTAGGGCAGGAAGACCACCCAGTTATTTGATCATTTTTGAGGCCTTCATAACTTCCTTCAAATAGAATATTTGGAACACCATCGGGAGTTGTTCCTACCTCTAATACAATTATCAAACATCGGGAGTCGCTTCTCAAATCGTGATACCAAACGCGTTGTATCTCGCCATCTATTCGAGGAAGAACATGTCGTTCTTGAAGATCTTCATCTCGATTGCATCGTCTTGAAGGTTGTGACAATCCTAATGTCTCATCCGACAGGTCAGCAAATGAAGGCTTTTGAGTCGAATCTGCTGGTTTTTGGTTCTCCATCTCCTGAGCGTCACTACTACAAAGAAGCTACGAACAAGAATTGAAAGTAGAATGTTATCTTGCCTAGATGTTGTTTCTTTTATAAAAAAGATTTTCATCTTGATTTTGATGGATGTCGTCGATGAAAAGCCTCCATCGCCTTTGCTGCATTTGCAAGATTCTTTATTGGCTCCCATGTGCGTTCACTAATACCATATCCGTGCCAATGGACAACATATTCTAATTTATTTTGACGTCGCCTTGAATCTAAGACTTCTTCTACTTCAAACTCTTCATTATTGTCTACTTCTATAGGAGGAGGTGGAGCTTGTCGTCTTCTTGGTATGTTTACTGTCTTGTATGGTTCAAGAAGATACACGTGGAATACTGGATGGATTTTCATTGACTCGAGTAGATGTAAACGATATGCAACTGGATTGATTTGTGCAGAAATAGAAAATGGTTCCAGCCTTCGATAGTCCAACTTGTCACAAGGACGAGTGGTCTTGATATTGCGACGAAGTAGCCATACCTTATCACCCAAGATGAATGATGGTTGTTCCTTTCGATAGACATCCGCATTGGCCTTTTGTTGTTCTTGAGCCTCTTTTAACTGCGCCTTCATCGTTGCATGTAGCTTTGATAAATGAATTGCCAAATCTTTCACAGTAGGATTATCAACTTTTGAAAAATCAAAAGTATTAAGTCGTGGATGATAACCATAATTAGCAAAGAAAGGTGTTTATTTTGTATAAGAGTGTACCGTGTTATTGTAAGCAAACTCTGCCAATGGCAAAAGAGTTGTCCAATCATCTTGTTGGTAATTAATGGTACAGCTTAAATATTGCTCCAAAACTTGATTAACATGCTCCGTTTGTCCATCAGTTTGAGGATGGAATGTCGAAGATAGTTTTATATCTACTTTAAGAATTTTGAAAAGAGTCCGCTAAAATCTTGATACAAATTGAGTTCCCCTATCTGATATAATATCCTTGGGTAATCCATGATAGCAATAGATATTGTCAAGAAAGAGCTTAGCTGTTTCTTTACCTGTGATAGATTTTGTACATTGTACAAAATGTGCCATCTTGGTAAAACAATCTACTATCACGAATATAGAGTCATAAGAACCTGAGATTGGAAGATCCGTGATGAAGTCCATAGAAACAGAAGACCATGGTTGTTCATGAATGGGTAATGGCTGAAGAAGTCCAAAAGGTCGATGACGAGGAGTTTTCGATCTTGAGCAAACATCACATGATTGTACAAAATCTTTAACTGCCTTTTACATTTGAGGCCACCAAAAATCCCTAGATATCAGCTCCAAAGTCTTATTATATCCAAAATGTCCTGCTGCTGGGAAGTCGTGACGAGCTTGAAGAACACGTAAACGTGCTTCTCCTTTTGGAATATATAGACGTCCTTTGAAATAGAGTAGGTTGTTCTTGAATTCAAATTTAGATGGAACATGAGATTTAGAAGAATTATTCTTGATATCATGAACAAGAGGGTCTAAAGACATACTTAACTGGACTTGCTTAAAAAAAGTTAAATCAACAGTCAATGTTGATTTTATTGCTCGAAGATGAAATTGCTGTGGCTTCAAGAGAACCGTTCTTTATTGCTCAAAAGCTGCATCTCCTTCTTTTGGTGCAAGATAAGAACGTCTAGACAAGGCATCAGATAAACCTTGTTATTTT